CATCTGCGGCTGGTAAGCACCCACCGGCCCCCGACGTCACCAGTCTCCCCCTGTCTCGTCCAACGCTGGGCCGGACCATGGAGATGTTCTGCGGGTCGAACTCTTGGACCTGCCGGCTCTGGTCCAAACGAAGGCAGCCATTGGGCGGTACCAAAGAGTGGCCGTCACGGCGCAAAGGACATGCCAGGAGTGCCATGTTTGAGATTCGCCCTCCCTTTCAGAAATCCCCCAGAAGTCGGTGCAATTCGAAGGTGAGAGTCGGGCGATAGTAATAGTGCATGAAAACAGGATGCAAACTATAGTACACCCCGGAAGACTAACATGGACCCTGAAAACCACTGGTTGGTAGAGGAAAACACTCTTCCAGGGGGCCATTGTCAGGGTCTATGTTAGTTTTCGGGAGTGTAAAATCCCTTTGTAGAAGTGAACGCCAGTGGCCCACTGACGGAGTTCTTCCGGTCGAAGGGAAATGCTACAATTCTCCAGTCCACTGAGTCCACTGGTTCTCTTTCACACCTCTCTGTGCTCGTTTGGAGGGGTTGGACCATATTTGGATCAGAAAAACACATGGCGACAGGGCTTTTGCACTACCCTTTCTTACTGACCAGCTGAATCCTATTGAATCCTGGTCGTTTCAGCCACCGGAAGTTCTGAATTGGGGTTGCGACCAGCACGGCGGACCTTTCGCTGGCCTTCCGGAGGGCTTCGCAGGCGAGGGCATCCAGCAGGGTCTCCTCCTTGATGTTCAGGGTGGCAAAGCCTGACGCGAAGAAACCACGCTTAGCCTCGCGAACCGCACGCAGCACAACCACTGGCTGACTGGCTGTAGACGAAGCGGGGGCCTCTGACCCTGCATCTGCGCTGGTTTCTTGCACAAACAAAGTGTGGCAACCCAGGCACTGGCCGCGCTGTATTGGGAATGGATGGGATCTCTCTTTACTGGTGCAGGTCGTTGGCAGTTTCACGTTTGTTGGGTGGCTGAAGGGGTCAGTCTCCAATTGGCTCACAGCGGCGTGGACCCCCTCTCCCACATTTAGCATTATTACAAAACCTCGTGCAAGGCACAGCTAGGTGGTCTCCTACAGGTATTTGACTGGTAGGGTTATTGCTTTGTGTATTGTGCGTGCGTGTGTGTGTGTGTGTGTGTGTGCCAATTCCTTTCCTAAAGGAACCACGCGGATGGCATATACACATTAATCCAGTAATCCAGTATACACCTACATCGGCATCTGAAGTTGAATCATCACAATGTAACTGCTGGCATTGCTACTGCCGCCCGTACAAAGCCAGGTGCATATCTATATGTAGATATGTATATGCTACCCCCGAAAGACCTACCATTCATGTCTAAGCCAATATCATAGATAGATCTACAAGCAGCAAAGAACATGCAGGGGGCTGAGACAATATTTTCAGGTGCTGTAGTATATCTTTGTGGAAACCAAATGGCAGGAACAAAAAGCAAGGTTGGTTGATGCGGAAGCAAACATATTTTGTTGATTTTGTCCTTTAAGATTATTATGTTGAGGGAGACTTCAAAGAGCTTGGTATCCAACAAAAACCAACCTTTACACATCGAGGAGTTTATTATTTCACTGTCAGACTTCAACATATAAATGTGACAGATTTTCCAAAGGATCTTCTACGCAAGAGAACGTTCAAAGGGACAATGCAGAAGACATACCAAAGATCTATCTGACACAATTAAAAATCCTCTTAGTGATGACAAAATCAGCAACCAAGGCTGTATCAAAATCAGAGTCAGTAGAGCAAAAAAAGAAACAGGTAAAGGAATGAATGTATTGAATGACAATTTGACAGATGCAGCTAATGTATAAATATCTAGCACTATTACACAAACACACCAAAACCGATACTGACACAGTTCAAAAGGCATTGAAACAGGTCATTACATAGATAATGTATGCTGGAGGAATGCATCAATGGAAATGAACGGATTTTATGACACTGCTCTTATATGAGTGGGACAACTAGAAAATGCTTGTAATAGTAAACATGAGTGAGATTATGGGCAAAGATGAGTTGAATGAAAGGGGGTGTCCACCAAGGAAATTGACTATAGGTATTATATATATAGCGTTTAACATGTCAATCCTTAACTTACGAATGTGACCCACCCAAAAGAAGCCATCGCATTGATTACATAAATGACATTATTCACATTGAAATACCTAAGGATTGTTAGGTCAAGATATGTTTTTGTGGCAAGGAGCAATGGCCTGACCGTATGTTGATCATTGATCTGTCACAAAGTCTTTATGAAGTATGTATTAATACCGAGCAGAAATTGCGACTGAACTAAAACAAAAGTTGAACAAAGTCCAACATACAATCAAAACACAAAAAGCTAGTAAAACAGAACTTCAGTTGAGGGTTGCATTACAGCTGGGGATGAAGACACTTATAACATGAACCTACCAATGTATAGCTTCAACAGGGAAACAATACCCCTTTTCAGTTATACTATTCAGTTCAAACATTGATGTCAAAATTTGAAATCACCTGTTGAATGGAAGTTATGATATATCCACCTGAGAAGATCCCCAAGGCAATCACTGAAATTAATATTTGCCAGAGCATTTGCACCCATTCGTCAACATCTATAAAACAATTGAAATTTTGTCAGACTGATACATGGAATATATATATACTGTAGATAAACGTGGTCGATTATGATATGTTGACTAACTTTACTTTCTTGTATGCAGATAATTCATTTTGTGCAAATGGTGCAATGCAATTCCACAAAGATATAATTGGATCTACCAGACAATTTTAAGGATGAACAGGTCAAGAGAAGAGCCAAGATACTGGCATGCAAAAAAACCAGTAAAACACACAATATTAATTACACAAATATTCAGAACCAGTTGATGAACACAAACATATCTAATAATCAAGAATAACACAAATTGAATCAGAAGTTGATAGGTGTTAACTATTGATTTCTCGAAAAAATGTCTCAACATGTTTTGAACCTGGATTCAGATTGAAGATTCCTAGAACAAGTTTGTGTCCAGCAATCTTGAATCGTGAGCCCATATGTGTCTCTCTCTCTCTCTCCCTCTCGTCTATTTGTTTGTCTATATGCATTCACGAATGCCCAAGAACCAAAAAAAACAAGTTTTTTAGTTAATGTTTATGCTTACGTTTTATCGGAAAAAAACAATTGTGTATTCTATTGAAATTCTAGGCTGCATAGACCAAAGCACCCCCCCCAAAGAACATAGTGACATAGTGTTTGTTGATTGTTTGATGAATAAACCCTGCAAGCAAACAAACAAAGCCAGCAAAACTTGTTCAGGCTGAAACCAAGGTTTCTCCTCAGAGTTGTGTTTTTTTGGTTTGCGGTTTTGGGTTTTCGCAGTCTATGAGAATAAGATATAGAGCAACAAATTTGGACTCAAGATTCAAGTTTTGCTCAGCAACTTTTCTGGGCATCTTGAATCTTGAATCCAGGTCCAAAAAACCAATCAATTTTTTCGAAAACCAACTAGTTGTTTCTATTACAGTGGTTTCAGAATAGATGGCACAGCCCCCGAGAGGTGGTTTATATGGGCCCCCATCTTAAAAATAAAAAAAACGTTTTGGGGGTTGTGCCATCTATTCTGAAACCACTGTAGTTAAACTTGTTTATCTCCAATTCCAATCTATGCATACAAATATATATATATATATGTGCCGCCCCTCGCACATTTAACGCCAATGTATTAAAACACATGCAAAAAAAGGTAGGTCAGGACATGGATGTAGGATGAATCTCATGTTAAAGGCAAGTCCTGATAGTTTGCGCAAAGGATATCTGGAAGGCTCAAGCATAAACCTCCCAACAGCCTCTCGAACCAGTGGAACGTCGCGCACGCTTCCCGGCACCTTCTCCGAGTTCGCACTTGGCTGTGTGGGTCATGGCACCCGGAGCTAGTTATCTAGTTTCACCCTGGTAGGCTCACCTCCCTCGTAGTCTCGTGTGACCATTTTCGCTTGTCAACAACTGGGTTTGGTCCCGCCATGTCACAAAAAACCTTCATTGCCCGAGGAAAACACGACTCGTCCCGAGGGGATCCATACTGGGATTCATCCGCCCATCCGGTCCTCAAGCGAGGTTGGACAGCTGCTGCGGCTTCAACTCCATGATGTGTGCACCTTGGTTCCACCGTCCACTGAAACGCTCAAGATCGCAGGGGTGAAGAACCACATAGCTAACCTAATCAGAAAGATCAAGAAATATGGTAAATCTTCTGATATGGAGATAGAGAAGGTCATGTGACCACCTTGGAAATGGGTGTATCTGTGTATCTTCTTGAGGCCATCGCCAAAAAGAAACTAATCTATAGTTCTTGGGTGCTCATGGGCGCTCGCCACTCCGCTTACTGGAAACTCCGCCCTCCGCTGAAGGTGCTTATCTTGAATGCAATCCATGTCCACTGCACAATCGTTGTTTGGAGTAATTTTGATGCAGTGTTCACTGTATCTTTTGAGGGTTTCAGGGTCTAGGAAACACCCAAACAGGGTGATGTAACGTTTCGATACGTTTCTCGAAACATATGAGTCCTGCTAATGGCCACCCCCTTATGAGTCCGGCATAGAACAAAAATGGTGCAATGGAACAGCCATGAACAACCCCACTTGAGCGCCAAAAAACTTGGACATCCGCGACTTGGCACTAACATCAAAGACTTATTTGATGCTGAAAATGGACCTTTGGAAGACTACCCTCCTCTACAAACCAGTCGTTTTCAGGTTCCATGTTGATCTTCCAGAATATATTTGATGCTCATGAGTGGCTAACCTTATTAATGAAGCCACGTCCATCTGTCGCATCGGTCCGTCTTAGCATCGTGTGGCTCTCTCCGTGAATTCTTGGGACACCGTAAATGAAAAATATGGTAAAATGCTCAGCTGAGGGTTTACCTTTAAAACCTTGACCAAAACAGCGTGGATGCAACGCGGCTCGCAGAACCGCCAACCTGGTCCTCCCGCGTGCGGCGTGTCCAATGGCATCCATCAACTGCCGATCCATCAGCTGGCCTCGGTGGATCTCCAGCCGTGGACGCCCCCATCCGCCCGGCCCAGCAGTTGGTTGGGAAGACCGGAACCTGGATATTGTTGGGCCAGTAGGGGTCAAGGATATGGTATCCCATCGGGAGCGCAACAAATAATGTTGGATCTTAATTAGCAAATCACACACCCCTATATATATATACAGTAATATATGATTTCGTACAGCTGTGATGGCCGTACTTGGACACCTGTGATTGGCCATGAATGCGGAACAAACATATGAACACTTGCTGCTTGGCGTTCGCCACGATGCCCGTGGCCCAACCCATGCCGGTCCATGGGCATCGTACACCATTGAAGCCACTTTGACCCCAAGAAAGGGCGTGGCCAGTGACTGATCTAGCTGGCAGAATCTGGCTGACACCAGCCGCTTTTTAGTGAATCAACCTTGCGGAAGAAGATGTTCAATATTTTCAACAGCCTTTCAATGTCTTAAGTGTGCTTGTTGTGACGATGCTCAAGCAATGTGACGTGACACCAAGTCAATGTTCAAAAAAGGCGGTGACACGGGCTCACACTTTACTGTACATGCTTTTGCTCAAACCAGCGCCGGTAGGCTATGCGGCTATGCATGTAATCAAGCACAGCGGTATAATACCTCATGGCACCTGAAGTTGAATTGGCCATCCAATCCATCTTTCCAACACAAAACCACACCAATCCAGGGAGGACATCGGTGAACGAAGTGGTAAGAACGGGTGATGCGGTGCTTCGGAATGATTTGAGGCACACATCAGAGACCAAACAAAACATGCGCTTTGGAAGTGATCAGCCGCTCAGCTCCATAGCGATGAAGCTCCATCTCGACGGAAAAACAGTTGCAACGAACTTCAGCGAAGCTTTGGGGCCTTCACCCAAGGCCGTCAAGGCTGATCGGGGTATGTATGTCACGGTACAAGTATGTCAGCTCCGTGCTCAAGTAGTTAATTAATCAACATTGAATGGGATTTGCAAGTAGTTATATAATTCATATGTATCGTAAATATTCGTATATAAATAGTTATTTCATGAACATCAACCCTCGAAACATCTCAATGGGGTGGCCATAGTAAAATTGGACTGAAGAAGTTGCCTCACTACGACGAAAAACACAAACATATAGATAATATTGATAAGAACATTTCCCCGAAAAACGACGGTTCTCCAATATTATCCAATCCAATCTGACGGACGCTTGCACATCCAATCTCTGATGATGCAGGCTGAACTGGATCACACCGCTGTTGGGTACCAGCTGTGAGCGACGCAAACAGTTCCTCAAGGACATTGTGATTTCTCATGCTGGCATGCTTGTATGGTGCACGCTGTCATGTCGAAATTCTCACATGTTGTCGCTCTGTCATGCTAGCTTGCAAAAATGCGGAGGTGTTGTCTATGCTGACGTGTGTCATGTTAGTGTGTTGTCTATATAATTCATGCTGTGATGCAGGCGTTTATGTCAACATGCTGTCTCGCTGATATGTTGGCATGGTGTCACACTGGCATGCCGTCTGTCATGTTGTCATGCTTGGGCGCTGACTTGGGTCATGCTGCCGACGCCTCCTTGTCACGCTGATTCCTTTGGGTGGTCGTGCCGACGTGCTTGTTTCCGGCTTCCTGGAGCGGGTTCCGGCTCTTGCTTGCTGCGTTGTTTGTCATGCTTGCCGACGTATTGCCATGTTGCTATGCTTGCATGGCACATTCACATGTTTCACAGCAGCGTTGTCTGGCAAACACAATCAAACACATAGCACTTGTTGGTGAACATGCCCGGCTGCCATTGCCCAATGGTGAATTCATGCCCAGCTGTTGGGGATGTTCTTTTGGGTTTATTTCCTTCACGGGTGTTTCATAGACTTGAAGCTTCAGAACCATCAGTGGTTTCAATGTTGGGATGGTGCACTTTTCGAGGAGCGCGACGGAACATGACGAGGGGACGGACTCCCACCACTTGGTTGAACAGGGCACCTCATGTGCAAAGTAGATGGCCAAAGCCCAGCATGAAAGCTCAGGCCATGCTCTGACCACAAATACATGCATTCTGGAACCGGCGCCATCTACATGCATTCTGGAACCGGCGCCATCTACAGCTGGATGCTTTCAGTTCACCAGTTCGCTGCAAACCTTTCACATTCCCACATTCGCATTCCCGGGCCTGTTCTGGATTTGGAGGTTCTGCCCGCCGTGGCAGATCCACACCATCTGCATGTCACATCGCCACTTCGGGAGACATCCAGCAACAACGGGAGGATCCGCAGAGTGGCACCCGTCAACGTGCCAACGGCATGCCACCGCCCAAACCTGGTTACACTCCAACGAAAAGGTATTGCCACTGGTATGGCCATTTTGAGAATACCAACCAGGTAAACGGTATAACATGGTATAACCAGGCGGTCTTCCACTTCCGTGTGAGTGAGTCACAAGGGTGACCCGGTCGCTCCACGCAGACCTCTGGGTGGCCCCCGCGCTTGGCGAAGGCCCATCCTGTCAACCCGATGGATCGATGGTTCCGGGCTTTCCACGGGGAGAGGTGTGTTCCACCTCACCTGGTTGGTAGGAGAACGCAATATGTCATCCGAGGAGAACGCAAGCGCCCTCATGGGTCTTCCACATACAACCATGAACTCGTTTTCGGGGAGTGCAAGTCGTTGATGGCAGGTAGTGGTCATCTGCTGATGCGTCTAAGTTGGCACCCCTGCATGGGAACACACTTTCAACACTGTATGAGGATGAAAGGATGCTTCAGTAGCACAGGGCACCAGTGGCACCCGATGATGCTTGGGGATTTCACCCGGCGACACGTCGTCGTAGCCCATCTCAATGTTCAAGAAGCACATTATACTGTAGCCTCGGTAGAAACTGATTTCATGAGTTACCCTGTCATGAAGGAGGCTGATCCTCATGGACCCCATGGTAAAAACACCATAAACATCCCTGCCATTCCTGGGTCTTCTCAAGTTGTCTTATTTTTCCCCGTGGGAGTTCCCACCTGGTCCTTTCGTGATGCATCATAGTGACTGCTTTAAAACTCACCGGAGCCGGAGGTTCTCTCAACAGAGCGGGAGAATCGAGTGAAACATTCCAGGCATTTTTGGTGAACATGTTGGTATGTTAAGGTGTTAGGTTGAAACTTATTGAAACTCATGAACCTTGACGAATTAACCTGGAAAAAAACAATCCCTTTAATTCCTCTCTATATAGTTCTTAGCCGGAATGCTCTTTCCAAAGGAATCCTCTTGGTCGCCTTCATTGCTCAGCCTCCCGCACCCCACGTCTCCCTCCCGTGCCTCTCCAACCCCTCGCCTGTATTTCCAAGGCTCTGCGCTCCAAACTCTGAGATCTTCGCCTGACAGCGCCACCGCGGTGAATGGGCAAACGACGCCATTTCGGACAGAGAAATCCAGGGAGATGGACCCGGTCAAGTCTGGTGGGCATATGGATGTAGGGTGTTTCACCCGACACGACCCATGTCTGTCATATATGCCGACCCATTGACCCCTCTTGCACCACCCCAATGTAGGTAAATAATGGCAAATATACCATACATGGAGTGTTTGGGAATGGCATGATTGTCTCCCCGTGGAAGCCGGTGAGCCCATGTGGGGAAGGTCGATCCGATCAACGCGAGTTCTTCAGGCCAACGTGGCCAATCAGTTCCCCCTGAAGCTTCCGTGGCCGCGCTACATGAAAAACATCACTCACTTCAAAAAGTGATCAATGAAAAAAAGAACTATTATATACTATAATCACTCAAACCAACAAGCATGGAACCTCATAACTTCATAACCCATATCCAACCCATGTTCGAGTGGTTCGCCGCTATTGAAACTTGTGCGCATTTCCGGGTATCCACCTTTGGGCCAAAAACACGTTCAACACTTCAGGATGAATTCTCTATTTTCAATCTGCTTTCCATGATATTCGCCATTTCAGGGAAACTGTCACACTTCTGGCAAGCTTGCCAGGAAAAGGCCACAGGCATCCACAGGCAATGCTCTATCTCCACATATCTTGGATGAACGCAAACTAAAATCAAAAGACACATCCCACTCCAGTCCACTTCGAAACCACATCCCTCTTCTGATCCCTTCTCACCCCAGCCCCCAAATGGAAGAGCATCGGATGAGCCGAACCGGGGCGGTTCACTCCAATTGGGGGTGGGCTGGTTGCGCCAAGTGGCCACCGAGGCGGTCGCCAGCGCCTCATAGAGCTGCAAGGAGCCAAAGCTGAGCCTCCACCAGTCGGTGTGACGGTTTGATTGGGGTGAATTAGGACCCCCCCACTTGGGTTCCACAGCACCAACTCCCTAACCATCCCTAAACCTCTAAGACCTAGGCCCTTTGGAAAACCTCTGCTGTATGTAGATGGAAGTTCCGGTCGCTGAAACTGGGCACACGCCGCCCTGCCCAACGGTTGTGGTGAAAAGCTGTTGAAAACCCAACAGCTGTGGTGAGTGGCCGTCCACATGTGAACGCCCAGCTGGAATGTGGGGGCACCTGACTGGGATTTTGGATGGACATCATGGCAAGCAGGTCACCGAAATCCCTTCCTTGTTCACAGGAAGTCCAAAGCAACTGCTTGGCTCGCTCTCATCAGGGCTGCTTGCCTGCAACACCACCCCCACGTGGATCGGCCACCCCGCGCGACACGGATCTGGCGCCCGGCTTGGTGAAGGACCAGGCCGTGATCGACAAGTCTTGGGATCCAAACTCCGACCTCGGGGGACATGGCCACGCGGCCCGCTCCGGAGGTCGTCCCGCGGTTGGTTGCGGAAGAGAGATGCGTCCTGGTTGGAGAAACAAAGGAAAATGTGTTTGATGGATAAGTCTCATAGTCATAGTCATCACATCACATCCTCTCATGTCTTGGGGATGTGGTGGATCCCAATGGTACAGGATGTCTCCCATTCATAGTATATTGGGTGAGCTAGCAAATTTGGACTTAGAAACCCTCGCGTGAGGGTCAACTGCTTGCGTTCCTGCAACTATTCCTAGAGTTCATTGAAGCTCCCTTCTTCCCTTTCGGGGGAAACTGGTGCTTGGTGAGTGGCAGGATCATTATATTATGACTCCAAAACCCTTCACCAGCCACCTCTCCCTCTGCACCTGAACCAAATCCTTCACGGAACAGTTCTGGCAGTTTGGACCCATACATGGGTCAAGAGACGGGTCAAGAGGTTTCATGAGGATTCCAATGAGATGTTGAGAAAGTCGGATTCCAATAGACGGGACTTCTGAGCGAATGCACCGGACTTCTGAGCTATTCTGACTTCGTTGCTCCCAAACACGTGCCGCGTAGACGGGCGAGATTCACAGCTTGGGAGGCGGACAGGTCCGAGGAATTGGATGGGTCGTGCCCGAGTCGTGCAGTACGGTATTACGGCCATCAGCATCGCTCACGTTGACGAGGTCTAGAGCAATTGACTTGAGGACGTTGTTGTCACTTACTATAAATATTGACCTCCCTAGGTATATAGAAACTATAGTGAACATTGAGACACCAGCGCCAAGTCTTGTGGGTTCGCACGCCGCACATCCCCTGGGTGCAAAGACAACTTCTCGAGCACTCGACTTGCAGTCACTTCCAGAAACGCCTGGCGTCATGGCGCCACGTCATGGCGCTGAGAAAAAGCACACGCTACTCGCGCTGGGGTTCGCAAATCCTACTCGCGCGGAAGCCACGGAGTAAATCAACCAAAGTCAAAATAATGTTGAACAAAAAAGTGTCAAACTGTTTTCATGTTGCTTTCAACTACACCGGTCATGGATAAACTGCCCTCTCGCCACTTGCCTGTGTACTGGGGGAAGAAAGATCGAACAGTGCAGCATCTCACATTGGCTTTGGCCCTTGACAAGCCAACCTATTTGTGAAAAAAACAGAGTTCTGACTGCCTTTTGGCTTATTAGGACTTACCTCATGGAAAGCATGCTAGAAGGCTCAACATCCTACACCACCTGATGCCCTCTGCAACACTCCAGTGCTCTACAGTATAGTTACTGCTACCTGCTACCCTCTTGAGCAACACATCAATCCATAGCCTAAAATAGTTTGCAATGGGCGTGCCAGCCCCTACCGCAACATGGCTGTGGGCCCACACATTTACTTCACAAATACTTCAACAAGTCAACATCTCCAGCTAGATCCACTTGGACTCCCCATCCCCTTCTTCCCAGTGCCCAAAACCGTCAGCGTCACAGCTTTGGGCCGCACAACCGCAGTTAGATGTGGTTTTGCCGCAACGACTTGGACTACTATATGACGCGCCCCCAGAAAGATCTACAGAATCTATGTGAATCTGAAATATATCCATATAAATTTTGTCTATATATGCTAAACATGCAAAATAAAGTTTTACCTGTGATTCATATTGATAATAGACTTACTGTAGATGATAGGTTGGATCCTTCTTCAGGTCTTTCTCTGATCAAGTCGCCCCGTCTCTTTTCTTCCGCATCGCTCTTCAGCGTCACAGCCTGGCCATCGCCCGTGTGCTTGGGCTGTTTGGACCGGCACGGCGTGCTACTCGGTCTTCCAACGAGTGCATCAAATGACATTGGACATAGGCCATAGATTCATATATATATATATATAGTAACTATAGTACTTTCAATAGGTTGTCTATGTGCTTTCATTCCAAAAGAGAATCCGGGCCGCCTCCAGCGGACATGGGGCTACTCACTCGTGTTGATTCTGCAGGGTGGTCTTGGTCAAGAAGGGCTCGGAGAAGGGGACAAGAACGGTCAAAGTAAAGTGTCAAACCAAATCCCTTCCATGTCCCAAGCAAACCTGAACCGTGACACAGTCCAAGTGAACGAACATGAACGAACCCTCAGTGCTGTGGGTGAACACTCAACGGGCATGTATGACCGCTGAACCGCCCAGGCGTGCTAGCTAGTACTCGATTCTCCACTGGTGGGTTCTTTGCGTCTTTCTCAGCTCGGCAGTGACTTATCACTCAGGTGGGGGGGTATGTTGGGCTAGGTGGCGCATGGTCTGAAACCAGCCAAATGACCTAGCTTCTCCAAGCATCGGATTTCCATGTATCACTGAGACTGTATGGTCAGCATAGTCCTTTCCGTGAAAAGGAAGAACTTCCTGCTTTCCGGTTCCTTCCCAGAGATATCCTTGTAAAAAGGGATCACAGCAAGGGCCAGCCGCCGGAACTCGCCCGAACCCCATCATGTTCAAGGTTCACGACGCATGCAAACCACCAAGAAAGGGATTGCAACATCTATAAAAAATATTCACTAAGAGTTCTTGAGCCCCCTGGTGTAGCCCTGCTACCGGGCCACCGAGATCCGCGTTGATTCTTGGCGCGGCGAGAAGGGGAAAACAATCAACGCGCCGACCGGAACGCGCCGACCGAGCTGAACGGCGACCGCCTGACCAAGTCGGCCAGTTGAAGCGCCAAGCCCAGACTCCAACTGGCACTGCTATTGCCCCAGCTGCTCGGCAGGGACTTGGCGGAGGAATGGCTGGTGGGTGATGCAGTGGGTGATGTGCTGAGTCATGTAGTGGGCCCTCGGAGTTACAGGTCGGTGCTGGATGGGAAAACATGGATATGGACTGATATGGATAGGAAATTGCAACCCCCCCGTCTCCAGTCTCCAACCAGAGCGGTTATATATAATGGAATCTCAATTTCCCTAATAGGTCTTACGAAGTCAGCTCTCCTTTAGTATGACTCTATAAATAACTACCAGGAGTCACATGTCGGGGTGGTTTTTAGTCCCGAGTGGATGTTCTGGTCAGCCCTATCCTCCAATAGGCGCCCCTTTGTGTATGCCCCAACCTTGACGGCGAGCATGGCGGTATTCGCCTGCGGAGCAAATCAGTAGGGCTGCCTGGTAAGGGTCCCATGAGGCACTAGAAAGGATGCACAAAACCATCTTGTCAAAGGGCCGACTTGAAGGTATAAACGCTCCGTTTGGGCCTTGATCCACCTTCAAAAACCTTCAAAACAAGTGAAGGATGGTAGCCCAGCGACAACCTCTACATCGATGGTTCGGAAGTACCGCCGTATCATTTCTCAAACACTCCATGTCTTACATTCTATGGCAGATCTATATCTAGATTGAGGTGGTTGAAAAAAGGGTTCGATGTGGAGTCCTTTATTTTTTATATGCCCTAGGGCTCCAAATACCTTCTGAGAAGGTGGGGCTGGGCTGGAGGTTTAGGGATATGTGGAGTCGCTTAGGTACCCAGACACTCCATGTATGCCATATATATGCCTACATTGGGGTGGTTTTGGGGGTCCATGGGGCGGCATATATGGCAGTCCCATGGGTCGTGTCTGGGGTATCATGTTTCATCCTTCCTCTCCCTCGGTCCTGGAGACCAAACCCCACCGTGAGCAGTGTGAAGGTATAGCACAAATCACAGCCTCAGCTGGTCGGCGCGGCCCATGGAGACCGGCTCAGGCAACCATGGATGTCACGGCTCAGGATGCGAGAAACTCACATGCCTTTTCAAGATGCATGGCGCCACATGTCTTGTACCATGCCAATCCTTTTCGTGCCCTATCGAAACATCATACTACAGGTTACAGTCATCAAAGTAGATGGCACTGTCCACCCCAAGATGTCTTTTATATAGGGGTCCGTATAAACCACCAAACTTGGGGCAACCTGTGCCATCGAACCTCTGAAGCCACTGTAATCTTCTCGGGCTTGCTCCGCAAAGCACGCTGAGGCTTAGGCAAAGCCATGCAGCGCGCTCGCGACTTAAACCTCCCGTGGGGCATGATGGGGCCCACGGCCAGTTGAAAAATCACTTGCAGTGGGGTCACACGTCGGTAGTTTACACGGACCCCCCTATGTAGAGGACATCTTGGGGTGCCAGTGCCATCTACAGTACTACTCTGAAATCACTGTATAGCAAGCAAAACCAACCAAAAGGGTGCTGCTTGTTCGCGGGGACCTGCCCCGTAACCACACCGAGAATGACAATTCCACAAGCTGCATAATTAGCTGATCCATATGCACCGGATTTTACCATGCGAAACATCTTTCCACTGCAGTGCTACTGAAACTACGTGGCACGCGATACAAGTCTAAGTGAGACGGTGCTGTCATGCGCTGTGCTTCTGACGCCTTCTACATACTCCAACCGAATTATCAGTTCAGTGGGCTGTGACAAGCGTTTCGCACCGAGTATGCTAGAAAACTGTTTGGATGTGACCCTCTGGTTGCAATGGTTTGTCCACCCTACACCCCAAAGAACGAAACATGCAATATCATTGCATTCCAATCAAGTTGATGTCTATTTTCGTCCCTGTTGGAGCCAAAACATGCTAAAACCTGTTGAAGTCTATAGCTGAATCCCTCAGTTTGCCTGGAACATTACATAACGGTTTTCATCACCTGGTTGTTTCTTTTTTTTTGGGGGGGGGAAACCCATCTCCCCCAGAAAGTATTGGTGATCCACACTTGCTGGGTAGCTATAGCAACCCCCCCAAGCAAGTCCGCATCAAGTCCATCCACGTGACGTTGGACGTGGCAGCCAGCTCCAGATCTGTCCATCATTCTGCGGTATAGGGGTAAGGCTAGGCCACCGAACTCCCCCTGCGGCGGCCTGGATAGCTTGCTGGCAGCTGGTCGGCCTCCATGCTGCAGGCATGCTGGGCGAGATCCAAATATCTCTGTGGCGTGACCTGCGGTGGATTGGTGTCACGCTGCAGCCGGTCGCCGCTCAAGGAGGTTTGTGCGGCCGGTTCGGGTGTTCGAAAACGGAAGAGTGATGGAGGGGAGGGTGCGAGCAGTAGGGAGCAAAACCCGTTTGTGGGCTCAACGGAATTCGCGCTTCAATATACATCACACCCGATTGCCCAAAATTGGTAAAAAGGAGCCCTTGCAGGGTGCCTTTGTTATGGTTTCTCACCCATAGTTTGTTGGTTGGGGAACAAGGTTGAAGGAGGTCCTACAATACCTCTCACACTCTGCTAGGGGCCCAGCTCCACAATATAGCTGCAACATGCCTTTTGCAACTCTTTGGACACTGGAAGGCTCACCCGTCTGGAAGAGCATTTTCTGCTACCAAACTGTTGCCGTTGTTGGGCGCGAGCGCTTCGCCCATTTCACCCAGGACCCCCCGAATGCTCGACCTGGCCCCATGCTGAAGATGCAGTCTATTCAGTGCTCCAACACATTTGGCCCTATCCAGTGGCTAAACTATAGGTCCGTGTCAAGCCTTCCTGTACCCCAGCGAAACACCGAGTGGTACAAGCACAGCTCTGCCCACTGGCACGCGTGCCTCTGCCGAAGTGGCCTCAGCAGGCAGCGCCGCAGCATCCTGATCTGATCCGGGTGCGCAATCTCTTGTGCCAAGCCCGGCCGCTGCCCTCCCCAAAGGCAGGCTACGGGTTTTTACATCAATATCTTTTTATATCTATATCTATACCCCCAGCACCCCAACACTGAAGTCGCTCCCGTCCAAGCACTCCCGCTGTATCCCTATGTGGTTGGCAACACGGCGACAGGGAAATTCTCCAAGCTCGCCGGCCTCCAGGCCGTAGAAGAAGAAAGAGCAGCCAGCAGCACGAGTCCTGTGCTTGTCCACTTGAGGTTTCGGGCGGCTGTGACACTCAAAGAACCACTCCAAATTGCATATACCAGGGCCGCCTAAGGGGCATTAATGGACATCCCTTAACCATCCTTAACCTCTAAGGGGCTTATAAAAAACACAACACAAGCCGCAGGCCCTTGTATGAACGCATCATCCCAGAGGCTTGGACTTCGTTCCCCACTGTCGTCACCTCTCGCGAAAGCGGGGGCTCGTCTTCGCCCGTCCTGTTGCTGGCGTTCCAACCTGGACCGGGGAGACGGGAGTGACAGCGGAACCCGTCTCCCCAAAGATTCCATGCATGAAAAAATACGTGTTATGCATTGTTAATGATATAGATCGATCATATACCACATCTTCCATGGAGTCTTTGGGTTTGGGTTCCCCTGCAATACTTCATTGGACCATCGTTGACCCGTAACATCAAACACCTCAAGGTCAAAAGGTGACCGGACCTTGCTTGCGTCCACATCGCTGTACTGGGAGGGCCAACCAAAAAAAAAGAACATATATAGCCAAGAGCAAACCTTCCAATTGATGCTGCACCCCAAATGGATGTCTCAAAACCAATCCCTGTGCATCCCTGCGGGCTGCTTGATCGAATTGAGCTTCACCCACCTCCTCTCCCAGTCCCTCTTGCAATATGTCTTGCTCTCCGTGGCCTCCCAGCGCCTTGCAGTGCTGGCCTCGTCCAACCCCGCGCCGAACTCCGCCAGGCCCGGCCTGGCCCCGTCCAAATCTGGGCGAACTCGCAGTGCTCGAGGACCGCACCGTCCGTGCCCTGCCGGTGACCGCACGGATCCGCGGCCGGGTCCGTCCTGCGGGAAAAAACACCTGTTGCAGCGCGGAACCTTTGTTTCTAGGGCTCGAGGTGACCGGGCCAATTCGAAGCCTAAAGAAAAAAAACAGAATTGGAGCAAGGGTGAACATCAGCAGCAGCAAACATTTCTCCTCACTCATCTTTGACACGAACCTACTACACCAAATCATCAGACTGACTCGTCCTTAAGCGCAAAGACAGTATCATTAATAAGGTATAAAGTAGACATGGAAGACTTCAAACCTCAAGCCTGCGACATGTTGTGGTACAAGTAATATATTGTGTATTTTGATGTGTCTGTCGTGAACATCTGAGCCATCTCCCACCAAACGGTGTACATTTCAACAACTCAGGCTGAATCAGTTGTAGACTTCAGCAAACAGATGCTCCTCCAGGTCACTAGCACACCTCAACAAACGGCGTTCCTCCATAGCTCGCTATGGCCTGCACGCAGTCCGGGGGCCGCAGCATCCTGACGGTCGTTGTGTCGTGAGTGCCCTTAACGACACAAGACAAGACAACCAACTCCATCCAAATGCTGCTCTCAAAGTCCAGGTTCCAAATGTTTGGTTCTGCAACAGATTTCGTAGATACTCCCCACCTTACACCCTGGAATTCTGCATCATGAAATCTGTTGCGCTGCAATGGCCACACCCAAACACAAAGAATTCTTCTTGCAAGAGGGCATTGTGAGGAAAGGACTTGGGACCTCTGACATCCCTCGGCTCTCTGGTTGTTGGGTTGTTGCACACTAGTGAGCAGTGAGCATAGTATATATTATACACTACACATGTGATTATACAAATATATATGTGTGTGAGCATGATGGAGGATACGCCAACTCTTGAGTTATCTTGGGTTCTTGTGGGCTTCCCCCAGGAGAGGCCCATCTTGAATTCTTGTGGACTTAAAAACCCCAAAAGGCCCATCTATATATCAAAAACACAAGCAAACCAAAAGTGCAAAGAAAAGGGAGCCGCTCCCAACGCGGCTCAGGCTCTGGGTCGCCCAACTCGCCCCGCTCCCAACCCTTCAGGTCTTTACAAAAATTTGGAGGGGCCAAGTGGATCAGTCACACCAAAAGGCCTTTTTTCCAGCCTGCATATACCCCCATAATGTATATATATATATACACATACTGGTATAGAAAACCAGCTAAGAATGTATTGGAAAGCGTTTCTATCTATTGGGGGACCACTACACATGCTTACAGTTTCACGGTCACGCTGGTCGAAAGGGTTGACTCCGTCAAACGGATCGCTTGCATCAGCTTGGCTTCGCCTGCAGCGATGGTCACATTCCACGTCTCAATCTTGGAAGAGTTCTGTCAAGGACTCGTGCTAGTACTGGTCCCTCCTCCACTCCGCCTGCAGATTTTAGGGTGTCCAAAGGTTTCACGAAATAGTTTTGAACTTTTTTCGTGACGCGGCCCGCCACAGGCACTACTGAAACCATCTGAAACCTTTTGCATCGCGCATTTCGCCTTGCCCATGCCTCCGACGGCGGATGTGGCGAAGTCCGTCCGGCGGCTGCGGTCCTCCCAATCACTTCGCTGCAGCGAGCCGCATCACCCTGGCCTGAATCGGATGAAGGCAGTTGAATTTTTGGCACAGTGAAGGGAATAGGGCAAGGACAAAAAATGCATGGCCAAGTTTGCTATATCTATTATCTATATAATATGCATCTTCACATATGAATGGCCAGGGTTTCTGGAAGGAAAGTTTCTGTCCTTCTCTGTTTCGTGTCCTTCTCGTTCGGAGGCTCACCCTACCTGTTACCTTCATGTTACAGGTATGAAACACTATATTATACAGTAGATGGAACGCACCAGGGGATGCAGGCTTTAGTCTTTCTTCGCTGAGCCAACAGTCACCTCGTGAAAAGCCACAGAGAGAACCAGAGAGAACACGAAGACAGGCCTTGCGCTCTGGATCCTACACGAAGGAAAAGAGACAATTACCCGTCACTACCCCTCCAAGTTGTGCACTCAATGTTTTGCTTTTTCTTGCTTGTCCAGTTTTGTATTTGGAGGGCTTTCCATCAACCTGCTCGTGGACCAAGGGTCAGAACAGTGACGATGGAATTGTTTGGTAAGAGCAATTGGTGGGCGAGGAATGATGGTGAGAACATGATTAAGCTTTTTTGAGGACCATGTCCTTCAATCATCCAGGCTAACATGGAAGTGGAAGATGGGCTCCTGGAAGACAATTTTCCTACAAGCAGGGGGCCTACTCCACTTCCCTGTGAGTGAGTCGGAGGGTGCACGGAGTTCACTTTTGTAGCTTCTTCTTGGGATCACTGCAACTGCCACGTGCCCAGCCGATCCAGAACACAGTCAACCCAAAGTCCCTCTTTCCCACATCTTTTGCCGTTCACCTTCGGTGGCTCCGGCTCCAGGTTGCGCGTTCCTGAGCCCAAGTACAGCTCGTCCCAAACAAACAACACGGAGAGATAGGGTGAAAGTGAATGACAGTAGATGGCCAGCCGGCTAATTAGTGATGTGGAAATGAGAAACCGCCACGCTTTCCCCAAACGATCACGAGACATCCGGTCTTCACGAAAGACTTGAAAGCCAGGTGGGCTGGCCAAAGCTTCAAGCACCGCAAGGGACCACGGTTCAAATTGCCTAGAACTGGTCCACCACTTCTAGAATTTCCAGAAATGTCCCCCCTAGCTTCACCCAAAGGGAGCTCAAGCGTTTCAATCACCAAATGGGTTTTGACACATGTAGCTTGCCCTTGGTATCCCATCCATGAGTGAACACCGCTTGCCCATGCCCTTAGCACGTCACACCCGTCCTCAGGATCCGGAGTTCCCATGGAGTTGGCTGCCACTGCCACTGCCGAACGGTGCCCCGGTGCCGGGGGTGCCACTGCCGAACGGTGCCTTTGAACCAAAACGGAAAACCCCCTCAGAAAAAGAAGAGTGTTGCAGGATGTTGCAGGTGATCCAGCTGAGTGACTGGGTATGCACCGGATTCCGACCCAAAACCACTCCCTGGGGGACTTGTGGCCGATGACCATCCTTCGAGAGCTGAAGGATTCAAGCACTGCACACCTCAAGAGTTCACACCGAAACGTACCCCCCCCACCGCTTCACCCACCACGGGACAGCCAAGGTGACCGGACCAGAAGCAAGTCCCGAACTTTTGAAGCAAAATGAAACACACACCGAAACGATATCCGAAGATTCCTGGCCCACTACTACCAAACAACCATGGCTTTGCCACGCGCCTTAGACTACAAAACCAGGTGAACCTATTTCACTTTATCGAATGGCTAGGGCCGGGTACATAGTATGTACACTCCGAGTTCGCCGATATAAACAACATTTACGCTCAACGCCATGTTCACCGGTTTGGTTCCTCACCAAAGTACGCCGCAAACGTCGCGGCTCAACAATGCCGAGCCTCCGTGGAAGACATGGATTCGAATCCAGCTTGGAGGCATTCACCGCCTGAACGGATGATGGATTGGAAAAACCATCAATGAAGGAAACATGTAGATATACTACGGACCACGAAATCCACCGGCCAAATGTATAGTAATTGTATTAGTAGACTAATTATTAGTATAACTATGCACATATATATATATATAGAACTTATATATTAAACATATAAATGCCGCACATGGAGGGCCATTTTGAACGGTGTTCTCCACACAAGCACACTCCCCGGACACCTTGGTAGTACACCTCTCATCCATCCTCATGTCATGTTAATTGGACCCTTTAAATGGTCTTCGTGACACCGACGGATCCGACCAACGACTTCGCACCGACGGATCCGACGGCCCCGAAAAAGGGTGGCCGGCACCTGCATGATCCGCTGCCGCGCGGCCACGAGGCCGTAGCCCAGGTAGCTGTGCTCGTAAAGGCGCACGGTTCGCCCGCCAGGAAAAGGGAGCCTGATGGTGATGCTGGGTGGTGAGTGATGAGGGCAAGGTGGAACAGAATGATGTGGGAATGAGATGGCATGAGTGCTTGAAAGAAGCAGCCGTGTTTCACCAATCCACTGAACGGCCCAGGACGCCGGTGTTCACAGTTCCGTTCTCGGTTCCGGCGAGGCGCTGCCGAAGGAAGGCCCGCCGGGACGGATGGAGCAAGGAAGGCTCATCATCCACCAGGTAGGCAATCCTAAGCTTCGGCACCCGGAAGAAGGGCTTATAGTCCCGGCCCTAGGGTTGCAACTGCCTTCTGAGAAGGTGGTTAGGGTGGGTTTGGGGTTCTAACCACCTAGCAAGAAAAAGGAATTGCATGGAAGATTTAGAACATGTCCGGCTTTTGGGGGCCACTTGTCTAACATGTTGAGTGATCTTAAGGTCTTGGGTTATAGCTTCGTTTATGAAGACATACTCAATGATTGGACAAAACCACATTAATTAGGGACGGGTGACAACATGGACCTGATTCCAAGAGCGAACATGAAAATGCCGAAAATCCCTGCCCCCCCCCGCAAAAAAGTCAACAAGCAACACATAAAGGCACCGGCACCAGAAAAACTGCTTCGGTAAAGCCGCAAGGCGGCTTTACAAACTCCAAGCTTCGGTTTGCAAACTTGGAGGCTCCGTGTCCCACCTCTCCGTATTTGGATCATTGGGCGTTCTCCTCCTCCTCCATATCATTTAGGCACTCCTTTGGACCTTCCTGGGCCATCTGTGAACCTGTTTCAGGCTCTCTTATGAGATCTTCACGAAACCGAGCAAACCTGGCACCCCCAAAACGGTCGCCCCTTTCACGAAACGCCACCGGTGCCCACGATCCAATACCGTCTCGTTCCACCCAGTCTCTGCGTGGACGCACCGCCCAAATCCAAGACCGCCACCTGGGCGTCGCTGAGCTCCGAAGCGCCCCACGAAAGGTCGTTAAGTGGACACCCCTTATCCTCTTGTAGGGCATTATAGGGGCTATTACTGGACACCCCGAGGCCTGGTAGGGAATTCCACCACAAGTGTGCACATGTGTGCACTATAGTCACTATAGTCAAAGGAGGCCTCCGGCGAGTTCGGGGCGTTTCAGGTCCTGAAACTGTGCCATGGGCAGCCAAACACCCTCCCCACCGACCTCCCTGGGACCACACTCCGAATGTGTCCGTTGCTTGGACCCGCCATTGAACGACCAACAGGGGCATCTATTGCAGCCACATATGGCAGCAATGGAATGTCTTGAATCAGGACCTGCAATAAATCAGCAATCAGGAATGTACTGTATTGGCTGCAATGGACCGTGAACAACTATATATAGCAATGATCCTATAATGATCATGTACATTGCCTGATGATGCCTGATGCACTTCCTCCTCACAGCGTACATCAACATCTGCACAGTGGTCGGCATCTCCCTGGGTCCGAGCCGGAAACATGCCAAACCTCTTTCGGTGCAAACATGGTGATGAGGTGGGATGAAGCATTCTGCTAATAAAGCACACGCCAAGTTTGGACCCCTAATCGACCATTAGACCGTCATTAGACCATTAATAGAGCATCCTGTTTGGGTGTCCTAGGGGTCTAGATTGAACACCCCAACAGGATCCAACAGGATGGTCCTGGTGTGTGTTTGACTTGCTTTGCACCCGATTTCCTTAGGATCCCCTTCTTTTCTATGAATTTCATTGAATTTCTGTGTCACCTGACCGGCGCTGGCCCACGCAGTGTGCCCAGCAGGCGGTTCACCGCCTGGGCGCTTTGCCCGATGGAGAGTAGCAGGACAAACAGCACAGGAGACCCCACCTATCACCTCCCTCTGACACTGACGCCGAGCTCGCTCCGATGCGACATGGGGCGGGTCAGTTTCAGTGTCGATTTCCTCAACTCCAGGGGCCACTGGTCTTCCACAGAACGCCCAACCAACGCAACGACTGAGTCAATGTGGAACTGGGCGACACCGACATGCTAAGACCATGGCTGAGTCGGCACTTGGCACACCGAGTTTTTGACGGTTTGAACGACCAACACCCTGGGAGTCCAAGGCATGTTAACAAATGGTCTCAAGGTGACATGAATCATGAAAGGGAATTTTCCCTACTTCGGTGCAGCAAAAAAAGTCCTTGGAGTTCTAGCGTATTGAAAGGGGTGCGACAATTGACTGTCCCTACCACACGAATCAGACGTGTCGTTGGCTCAATATGTTTCAATCTGCGCCTGATTTCATCTGATGGCGCCCCAGGAAAAACAGGCCATGACATGCCATAATCTGTTTTGACCGTTGTTTTTTTCGTTCAGCGTCCATGGCAGTGAATTCTTCGATCGCTTAAGCGGTAACTTCGCCCGCCCGACAGGCGGGTTTGGCGCCGACCAACGACCCCCCTGGCACCCATGCCATTCAATGACCGTTGAAAAAGGCACGCGTCCATTGGAGCCAAGTTTCATCAAGTTTCCATGCATGTCCCGGTCGTCCCCTATACGTTCTGGACACCCGAATTTCCAACAGGCACACGAAAGGCATGATTCAGTCATCAAGTCCCCATTGCACCAACCAAAAATAAACACGACCCACCCAGGGCCCCCCACCAGCCACTGAAGAAGGCCCTCGTCATCGCCGCTCATGACCTGCAGATTGACGTGCCAGGTCCGTTGACGCGCAGCTGGGAGCGGTTTGTTTGGGGGGGCGACTTTGGAGTCGTGAGGATGGGCCAAAAGAGGTTGACAGACCTGAACTGGACTGGGACCCCTAAAGACGGGGACATATGGGCTAAGTTTAAGTTCTTGGGTGCCAGGATTCGATTGGTCAAAAGTCTCTGCTCGTACATGAGCGCACTACTATCAAAGGCTTAGGAATCTATTCGGTAATCGAGGAGTTGTGAGATGACTTTAGCTAGGAGTACTTCTCGGAGTCCAGCCAACCAACATCACATCAGGAAATCAACTTCCATGAACCAACATGAGCCAACAAAATTAACTACAGTAGTTTCAGAGTATATAGATGGCACTGGCACCCCAACATGTTTTTCCTTTCATGGAGGTCCATACAAGCCACCTACTCTGAAACCGCTGCTTCTTCAAACAGAAAAGGATACCTGCACCATCCTGCACCCTTGAGCCGCTAGTCTAACCATTTAGATCGTCGTCCATGGTGGACAGGAACTCATGTGTCGCGCCTCGCGACAACCAGCTCTTATTTAAAAAAACATATATATATATATATAGTTATATATATATATATTTCTTTGAAATGCGTGGGGCGGTTCCCCCCACCCCTTTAACAGCATTGGGAATGTTTTTGGTGACGCCAAACGAAGGACCCCATCCACCTACCTTGAAGGGGAAAATGCACCAGCATTCAGCACCTCAGACCATTTAGGGCCACCTTTCTCATCTTTCTCCTCACCCCCTTCACAGCCCCGTTTGGAAGTCGCAGCCGCATAAGTCGCAGCCCCCCGTGTTTAACACCAAACGGGGAGGTCACCAAACGATGATGGTTGGGGCGAATGGGGCCAAAACATGTGCCCATGGTTTTGCAAGAATTGGACCCACCCAAGCAGGATTGTGTCTTTTTTTGAGGGGCATGTCCAACAAGAACTATATACAGTATATACGTTGCAAATATACTGTACACTTTTGGATTGCTCATTCGTTTGGAATCTTCTTCGGTCTATCCATCAACGTGAAACTCAAAGGAGCGGGCTCAGCGCCGCCGCAGCGCCCGGAAGGCCTCCACACCCGCGTCTTTGAAGCCATACTGCTTTGTGATGCTCCTCATCAGTTTCCTGCCCGGTTTCGCGCCATCTACGAGGAAAATGGGTATGCTCAACAGTCCCTGTGATATCCATGATCCAACGGTTGTAATGGTGTTATGCTCACAATGGGTCCTTGGCTTCTTGAACTGGAGAAGGTCCACAGTTGTTTATGTTTTTTTCCGAAACTACCCATATGAAAGCGAAGGTGTCAGATCCAAACCAGCAAATGATGGAGATATCTTGAGCTGATGAAGCTGATGCATGCTGATACCAACATGTTGATCATGCTTTGGGAACTGGAATTGATTTCTCGGACCCAACAGTCCACCGAAGTCTTTCAATTTGAAGTGACACAGATTCACGTGGACACCTTTGGATCCTCTGGTCCACCTGATGACCTCTGGAGCGCCAGCAGTGAGGCTCGGAGTCTGAGTCGTAATTGATGAGGGACGAGAGATGATGGCGTTCAGTACATCTCTCCAAGGATGACATGTGGCCGAACGTCACGCCTTGCCGAGAACATCTCATGAAGCAACAACTTTCCGAGATGAACTGAACGACATCATGATGAAACAACACCTTGAAGAAAGAACATGTGAAAGAACATCTTCCAAACAAGCAGACTCGTGGATACTCATGGCCACAGTCCAAGGCTCTTTAGATGCGTTTAGAGATCTTAGTCTTTGACTCATACCTGACTGGTTCTTAGTCTATAAAGCAGGGACTGGATTCAAGGGAACCTCTCTTGGGGGCGCGTTCCCGCATCCAGTGCGCTTCGCACCAATCGTCTGCTTCGGTGGCAGCCCCCAAATCCCACGGGCCACCCAGCAGAAGGAGCTCGGCTTTGGGGTGGCTCAGAAGGCGGAAGCCTGCGGACGATGCGGAGGAGCTCCGTTCTGCTCCGCTCTGCGGGTTTTTCAGGTGTTGCTTTGCTCAACTCGAGGATGAAATCAATGCAACAAAAATATACAAAAATGGCATTGATTTAAGGCTGCTAGCTTCATCCCGAGGTGCCTTTCAAGGCATGTATAACTTAACCAACACAACGGTCCACAGGTATGGCGATCTACACCATCTGCCTGGGCCTCACTTAAATGGTTAAAACATTGCGCAAACACAAGTAACCACTTGTAAGAAATGAAACCAACACACATCCAACTAATGTCCATCTCCCAATGTTCTCCACATGCCTTACCTATAAACTCCATGAATCAAGTTACCCCACTAAGTCCCACCACCGCCTGCTGTCGCACGGATGGCCAACGGCGTTCGAGGCCGGAATCTGGCTGGGACCTCCGGATCGTCAGAGTAGCAGGTCAGTGAGGGCCCAGTTTAGCTGAAATCTCCAGACAGTTGCCAGTGAACCCTCAGAAAGGTGCGCGAAAGAAAGACGTTGGACTGTAGAAAAACAGTACCCAAACACTCCATGTATGGCATATCATACATTGGGGTGGTTTCAGGGGCCAATGTAGGATATATTCCATACATGGAGCGTTTGGGGTACGGTGACGTGATACCCGAAAAACAGAGGTCCCACAGAATCCGTGTGGAAGTCAGAGTAGAATCTGTCTTCCAATCCCGTTTGGGCTCCAGTCGTATATTCGTTTCGAAGGTGGGACTGGGTGCCAGGAGGGTTCAGTCATACCTTCTTAGGCACGACTGGAGCCCTAGGGAATGTCTTCATGAGTGATTCTTGCTCCAATATCTTTAAAACCGCCGGATTGATGCACTCTACCTCGGATTGTCACATTGCCCACCGGTCAAGCACCCCTGTGCTGTGTAGGGAACACCACCACCTCTCCTAACCTCTCATTGAGAGCAGACGGGCCAACAAGAACTCACCTCAATCCGATGATTTTCTTAATATACCCTCCCTGAAATCATCTTGGAAGTGGAGTTCACCATCTGCTTGGTCTTCGGAAAAGGCTCTTCCTCCAATTTCAGTTCGTGTAGGTGAAGGACGTCCTCTATTTCGGGCCTCACCCATGCTCGTCCCCCCGGCGCACCGCGTCGGCGGCCCGATTCAGCAAAGGTTCCAGCAATTGGGACCTGAAATGCAACAATCCCTAAGGCTCATTGGACCCTCATAGCTAGGGTTTTGACCTTCACAGCCAGGGGTTTTGAACCTCAAACATGCAGCAGTTTGAGGGTCCATGAGCCTCTGGGATGGGTCCACAAAGAGGAGAACATATTTGCCACTGAATCACTGGGTAGGGAAGCAGCAAGTAAATCAAATTGTTTCAGGTGAGGCCCTGATGAATCAATGTCCAATGTGGGACAAATGTGGGCTTCGGACTAGGACAATTGTCTCAAAATCCGAACCCTCCAACTAATTACAGCATTTGTCTGCTGGGTGTACCTGCACAGGTGCTCAAGGTACTCTATCAAAACAGGTATCTTTGGTTTGCTAATGTGCAAGCACTGGCTGGCACTCGGAAAGCATGGTATTTAGATTGTATGTCGTGTCTTGGGTGGAGACTTGCCCCGACTGAATGTGAGGACAGGATTGGCTAATGTGAGGGCAGGATTTCAACCCATTCACTTGGCCAAACATTGTCCTGCAAGAGCCTTCCGGCCATGTTTCCAACGTTAATTTTTTGGATACCCAGAGCACGCATCCAATTGTGTTGGCCGATCTGTATCCTGTTATGTGACCTTTCGTCGCCACCCTTAATAACGTCTATTTTCGCAAATCCCTTTGTACAATATTTCCGTCTTTAACTTGGGTGTTTGATGATTTCAGGGAGGCTCATTGGCAGTTAGCCTCCTCATGCACAGATTTAGTCTTCAGGATTCCTCCTCGTCCTCCTTTTGTTCCTTTTCTTTTCCCACATGTGTGCCAGTGATCTTGTCATGATGCTGCCACACAATATGTCACAGTTCAATCATGTTTAGTGACCAATCGCACCCATCAATTTGTTTAAAAAACATGAAACACTTTTAAGCTGGGCTCCCAATGGTTCCCAGGACCTCCGGTTCCACTGTTCCACCACCTGATGCATTGAGCCAGGCCACAAACAAGGTAAGTCCTCACAGGTGCTCAGCGCTGGCTGGTTGGAGCTGCTCCTGAAGACCCGCGTAGCGCGGCGCGGTGTGATCCCGGTAGGGCAAAGACTGCGGCAAAGGCTGTTGGACGATCGATTTGACCTGTCCCCTACAGGTCACGGATCTCATTTAGGGCCAGGCTTTACTTGGCCTTTGGACTGCTAGGGTGTCCGTTCAGCCCTCCTTTCAGGATTGAAGGGAGTTGTCACAAACCAGCGGCACCAATACCCTTGCTGTTGGGCACGGCAAAAGCATCACTTTACTTCGAATGATCCCCACCATGGCATTTTAATCTGAAACATTTTCTGGCATGTATTAAAAACGTTATTTCGGCATTCTTTCTGCGGCCTGGCGTATCTTTCCGGCACACCGGTCTGACATTCTTTCATCTGACATTATGTCCGGCGCATCTTCTGGCGTCTCTTCGGGTCGTGTGTGCTGTGGATGTCTCTTTGTGGCTGTGTGTTTGTGATGGCGTGTTGTGGTGTTTGAAGTCCGGCGGGGTACACTGCCGTGCGGAGCTGGCGGTTGAGGTCGGGAGGAGGAGGCGGAGGAGCAGAAGGCGGAGGAGGACGACGGCAGCTGACATCAAATCGAACAACCGTCACCTGACAGGTGGGGAACAAGAAGTGTAGCTGTTAGCAGCCGTTAGTGCACCCAGGTGCATAGGCTGTTTGGGGTGAACTCCTTCATGACTCACATGAAAGGGTGATTACTTGCCTGTTGGTGTGGATGTGTACTGCCCAAAGCTAGGAATTCTTCACTGTGGAGGTTCTCGCCTTAAATGTTTCCTTGCCCAAACGGATGCCCACGATCACAAAACGCCAAACTCCGTAGCAGGCATGGCCATCGGGCAGGGCGGGCGCCCTCCCAAAACATTCCACAAAAACAATCAATTATAGATGATTATAGGATATTATAGGATAACATTTGATTTGACAATAGGACCCCCCACGGAGGACTCTTCTTCAACTGATTTGCACTGACCAACCACGCAGTCCAAGTTGTAGGCCTAGTTGTGAGCCGGTGGACGGGGGAGTCCAGCCGTGAATGCCAAACTTGCATCGACCTACCGAAGGTCAGGAAGTCCCTGTGGCTCCTTGGTTCCCTGCGAAAATCGAGGAATGGGAATGGAATTTCAAGACCACCAGCCCAGCTGCTATTGGCCCCCTCCTCACCATCAGCTAGCTTAGTAACCCACATCCCAGCTGGCGCCAGTCAAATCGGTCCTGGGAAGTCCTAGCTCTTTGCAAAGATCTCCTGAGGCCCAAGAAAGGCTGAGCCGTAAATCTCCAGTGGACCTCTGAATCACCAAATATGTAATTTGCAACTTGCAACTATAACATGTCTTCAACGTCAACAAACTTGATATCCTGGTTTGAGGTCACTTGGACCTGAAATTCAGGTCACTGGATGGGACTCCGAAAAGGTCACGTTGAACTAGCTGGTGACTGGTCTTTCTTTCTCTTTATTTGATATGTCACGTCTTTTGGGAGGGGGCTTTGCATTCTAAACTCATCATCTTTTAGTGATGGCTGGGGCTGGGCCTGTCAAAGCCGTTGAGCCTGCGGGCCGAAGAATGACGGATATTGACGGCTCCAAATCCCGTCAGTCTGACTTTGGCCGCCTGAATTCCAGTGAATTCCATGGACAGAACATATATCTGATATGTTTATCCTGCAAAGCATCTATCCATTTGGAACAGCACTCTCATGGCTCACCTTCATGGCTCACCTGGCTACCGAACCTGCACCCTCCCAAGCAACGAGCGCCCCACTCCACGAGCGCCAGCGACGAGCGCCACCGTTCCAACCCCCGACACCTTGGGAGAAGCAGTAGATGTGGACACGCGTCCCAGTGCTGCCTGAAGTGGATCAAGTTAGTTTGGAGATGATTGGAGTACCCTACCGGACCCTACGGCAGCGGTTGATCTGCCTTCAGACGTTGAGAATGCATCTCTAAATCGTTTAGCTACATGATGCTACATGTAAAAACAATGATGGAAGTGGAGTTCACCCCCATCCATTCGGACCATCGTCGTTCCAAAGGCCAGCACGTCCAGCTCGATGCTTTGGGGACCGTCACTCAGCGGCGCCTGCGTCCACGACGACCGCCAAAGGCACGTCTTCCGACAGTCGCTGTGTCGGAGCGGTCCACGGGTAGAGCCTCCACGGCACGGCCAGGCTCGTTCAGCGGTTCTGGGGGTTCTGGGCGCCAGCTTGGGCTTGATGAAAGTATGAAGTATTGTGACCTTGCCCCACTGAACATTGGGTTTCCTACCTACCTATCACGCATGTTGATGCAAGAACGGGAAGGGGACAAGGACAAAACACTTCATTCCTTCTCGTGGCCCAGTCGTTTTCTGGCCTTCCGCCATCGTAGAATCAAACACTGTCAAACACTCGTTTATATAGAGAGGCCACGTCCGAAGTCCTGAGCACATCGGAACACCTGCCCACAATTGGTTGTACTGGAGGCTGTTGCGCAACGCACATCCAAAGTCCGATGCTTACGTTCGCCCTAAAAGAAAACCATGCAAACCCATGGAATGCTGTTTGGATCTAAGAATTTGCCGCTTGACCAACCAACCTCTTCCTCAAGCTTTGCACACCAGATGTTTTTGAGCATTGTTGAAAGTTTGCCTTAGATATTAGATGCTGTACTGGAGAGGTAGGGAAGGCATGCCGGAACGAGGTCCCAACATTATATATGAAAGGAATAATCTAGGACCTAGGAGATTTGTGCCCATAAAAAAGTACAGAGTGGGTTGATTCTAGACACCCAAGGTGTATAAACAGTATGACGAGGGGATTTGCTATACTCAGCGTGTCCCAACTCACAGTGGCTCAGTAGTCTCTAATCACAAGTTATATCATTCGCACAGGTCCGCCCAGCCGCCAACCCAAAACCAATGGAGTTCTGCAATGGAACATGTGATCCTCTCATATCCTCTCTAAAAACCGCTCTCTTGATCATCCAGAGTTCCCTCACCTCCTGAGAGGGCAACACTTGTCCAAACACCGATGGATTTCATCAATTGGAAATTCGTCAGTTGCTTGTAGGAGCTCTGTCCAAGAATCGGAAAAAAAACCGCCCGCTGCGCCCCGGCACCCGTAGATGCAACTGCCGGCGGTGATGAAGAGGCCCAAAACCACCAGGGCGGCCTTGTTCCAAAGGCTTGGGGCCCCAACTGCTTACAAAGGGTCCTTGCTGCCCCCGACCCACCCACAGAATGACTGAGGTGATAGAAAAACCTCTTTGGAGCACCTATGCTGAGACACCTGCCTCATCAGTCACAGGCTTCCTTACATCTTGCTGACGATTTTGGGCGTCCATCGGCTTCTTTGTTTGGAAAAGCCATCGGTTCCCATCGGGTCCCCCCAACAACGGCGACCGCAAGTGGGACGTCGAGTAGATGATTGGGACCCTGAATTCCTCTCATAAACCAGGGCCCAGTGGCAGTGGATGATGATGGTTAGGTTGCAGGCCTCTATAGGCCTTTCTCCAAAACATAGATAATTTACTGACTGTTGCAGGCACAAGCAATAATAATAGGACAAACCCAAAGGATCCCAGATGAAGATGAAGCATCCTTCTCTGAATCTTCATGAATCTTGTACTGGGATTGCTGATGTTGCTTGCTTGGTTGATGCTGAGGCATCCATAGTGGACAAGGAAGAGTTCCCACTCAGAATCATTGAAAGGGCCAACCAAATCTTGTGACATATGTACACATGTGCATGTGCAGTCACTAGCACAAATAGACTATATACTTTACAGTAAGTCACATCAAGCTGCATTCCTTCAAATCCCACATGTCCAAGAACAGCGCACCAAACCTGCACCCCCCGACCGCCTGCCCGCGCTTCTGCGGGGCTGGGGAGCATGGCCGGGGTGACCAGCGGGCCTGCCGGGGTGACCAGCCCTTACGATCCTGCGCAAACGTTCCGGGCATGGGTGGGTGAGTGCTGAAGCTGGACCATTGCCGACTCGGTGCTGGAGCTGGACCAAATAAAGGGGAACCGAACTTTGCTTCTTTAAAGAGGCTGAACTTGAGGGCCACTAAGCCGCTGACATTCTCCAGTCTTCCAAGGGGTGTATTCATGTGTAGCCTCCCCGAGTTTCCCTGTTGGCTCTCAGTCAGAAAATGAATCCCCCCAAAAAGGTTCAAGGTTAGGACCGGCAGCTGTGGGGTCCCAAAAGCGGGGGGGGCCGTTGGTGGACCCCAAAGTGGAACGACCGTGGGGTCAGCGTGAATGCGTCGTGGTTCGGCACCAGTGGCCACACCGGTGCGAATGCATCCCAAGGAACATGGCCCATTAAATGGCTGTACAGTAGCTAAACCAAAAACCACCCACCCCCTGAACCGATCGAACTTCAAACATGTCCTTCCCCAGTCCTTGGAGTAGTCATCCAGCTGCACCTCCGCCAAATCGATCCAAGCCTGGCTGTGCAAAGGACAGTCGGATACTCAACGACGATTCCTTCAACCTGCTGGAGGATGACATAGGATGACCCTCCACACCGACCGGCTCGATCACAACGCACGACCAAAACCCCGAGCCTTCGGCATCTTTCATCCATCCTCCACTCGCCAGAAGAGCAGCCCATCAACGGCGTTCAAAGAGCCACAGCCCGGGTGATTTGAGCTTTGTTTGGACGTCACGTGCAGCAAAGATTTGGACGCATCCCGGTCGACCAAAACAACATGTTGAACCAGTTTTGTATTTCCCAAGGGTTTTTGGTCCCAATGCTGCAAGGTCTATTTGTTCCACATTGATGAACAAGGTTCGTCACATGGCATGATCGCGATGGATTGATGCGAAGCATCACGCTCACATTCAGGACCCAGTGAAGATTCAGGGTACAACACCAATGAATAGTCATGAAATATATTGAAATGTATAATAATACAATTGTTGAAATCTAGTCTAAAGATGTCTAAAGTACTCGGTGTGCTTGACCCCATGCCTGGGGAAAAGAACACGTCCAGGCTCATGTCACTGGGCTAGGCTGATTCGGTTGCAAAAGGAGGTGGGGAACAAAGGGAGGGGCCCATTGATGACCGATGTGCTATCGCAGGGAGGTTTGAGGTGGACGACTTTGGCACTGACAGCCTCTTGCTGAAAGCCTTGAAGAGCGCGATTTATTCTAAAATCATTCAAGAGTAGCTCTTCAACGAGCCTGAGAAAAAGGAAACTCCTAGGACCTGCTCAAGTCGTGTTTTATCATCATGTGTCTAATGTCTATTTATATTATTATCTGAGGCCCTTTTTGTGCCGTGTTTGGCTCTATCGCTTGAGCAGGAATGTCGGAATCAGCCCGCTGCTCTCTTAAAAAGCAAAAAGAAACGCTGACACCCGTGTATCCAAAAATATCCAAACCGATGCGATGTCGATGGCCTCTGGTGGTCGCACGGTGCGCTTTACCAGCTGAGGCCAGCGCGGCGTATTAGCTGTGTCATTACTGTATATTCCATTCAACAACTCCAAATAATAAGATTACTGAGAAAACCAACACCGCCTTGCGACATTGAATTGGGAATAAGCCACTATTTTGATCTATTTTGCATAAGGTCAAACATGGTCAAGCCTCTTCCAATTCCATTAGAGAACTTGAGCTAGGCCGCTAGGCCAGCCAATCGACTCCGTCTGAGAATCACTGTGTATAGGAGGTACAGCCAAGCCAGGAGCTCTAATTTGTGAAAAACATATAACATTTTTAAAAAGCAACAACTTTGACTGTCTTTGACTGTTGGGAAGGGCGTGGAAATCTGGTTTAAACTGTCACCCTGTCGGGGTGCACTGCAATACTACTAAAATACTCTAAAGCAAATTCTCTGTAGGACCTTCTCACTCACATCAGACCAATCGGAAAGGGCTGTCCCCATCTGCGCCCCCCTTAATCTACCGCCTCACCTTCCAAATGGCGCGTGGCACCCCTTAGGACCCCCCGTATGTCCAGCGGTGCAGCAGCAGCCCACCTGGTCGTCACCTCGACATCCCATTGGGCGGGGCTGATTGAGTAGCTGAGAAAACCATGAGCAAGAACTCCTTCCAAGTCTCATCACACGAAGGGGGGAGAAGGTCGGGAAGGGATGAAAGGACAACATTGGATGAATTCAACGCCATAGATGGATCCCATTATTGATGCGATCATCTAGTATAATTTATATGATTTATATGTCTTTATTTTTGTATATGTGTGTGTCTAAAATATATTCATATTGTCAGGTAGTTGGGAACCTGAACATAATATACACATCAACAGTCCAAAATCCAGTTTGTGCAGCATTATGCATCCCTTTGTCCCAACTCGGGGGGCTTGTTTCACAGGAAAGGTCAACCCAGTCATTCTGCAGGTCCCAGCCCAGTCGGTTCCGTTCGGTGACATGTCGTGCCACTCAGCGATCTCCGTGCTTCATCTCGCTCAGACGGCCCATCTAGTGGGCACAAGCACCCATCAACTCAAACAAGTACAGTACCCTCCTTGAAACATTCATGGAAATGGAACAAAATGACCCTTGGAAGACCATGACATCCTCTAAGAAGCAGGGGATTGTCCACTTATGGCCACTTCAATGTTTGTTGGAGAGGGCTATGACCAGGTTCCACCCGCCAGCGCAGTCGGCCACAAGGCGCGATGGATGGATCCGTGGTCTGGCAGGACATTGGTCTGGCGAGGGCGCAGTCTCCTAGTGATCACTGGTGATCTCCCTCCAAACCCCTCCCATTCTCTACAGTCTGCCAATATCTGCTAATCACTGAAGTGACTGATTGATGTCCGTACCTTCATTTGCCACCCTCTCCCGCCAAACCACCAAACCCGAACACCCCCCAAGGTCGCCGGGTGGCACATCATGGTGGCGTAAGACCATGCCAGGTTGGAGAGGTCAATGGTGCTCAACTCTGCCTTAGGAATTGGCAGGGTCGACTGGTTGATGGATTTTTGGCGCTTCTTGCAGCCATGGCAAATGATGGAAACTTCGATGCTAACACACCACTGGAGGTCTGTAGGTAGCACTCTACGTAGCACAGCCTCTTACCAGCACTCCCCGATCACACTATCTAGCGGCGTGTGAGTGGCGAATGATGGTGCAAGATGGTGCAAGTGTTCTTCCATCAGCCATGGGAGTGTTGGTGTTGTCGATATGTGTTAGGAAACTAGGCACCCTTTACCAAGTTCTAGCATTGGTGGGTGCCTTTGAATCTATAATGCCCTTTACAGTGCCAAGGGGTGGAAGCATCAACCAGAACCTGGCACACTTGAGATTCCTCCTTTTCCTTGCCCAAGCGGCCATCAACTTCAAAGCTATCCCGGACAAGTGCTGCACCAGTGGAGCACCTCTTTGGACAGGGCGCACGGCACGTCGTCTGAGGTTCGTCGTCTGAGGTGATCGTTAAGTGCCCATGATCTAAATATCTCTGCCGTTAAGTAGGCAAGAAGGCACACTCTCTGCCAAAGCCCTCGCCGGTGGCAACACAACACATATCCAAGTGGGCCCAGCAACATCAGGAACATCCAATGGCTACTGCATGCTCCTGCTATCATTCACACTCCCAAGAGTGACAAAATCAAGTTGGCAGGGCCCACTTTGGTGCGACAGCTTCGCCACAGCCCACAGCAAGTTCACCTCAAGGGCAGATCGAAATCAGAACCGCAGGTAATTAGGTTCATCATGGTTCATCAGTTCAGTTGCTCAAAACCAGCACTGCAAATGGGTCCAGTCCCAGCAAACAGGGTGGGCACTGGCAACCCTCATGCATCCTCACAAGTGGGAGCCCCCATGCATCTGCGCCAAATGCGCCTCCGCCTGCACCGAAAATAACTTGCACTATCTTGCACTCAGAGCTCTGCGGTGGCTTGCGTGCCGATGTCGCTCCTTAGGCCCATGGCTGCCTCGGCGCCCGAGGCTGTTTTGGAGCAAACCAACAGGTAGCACGTGGACAAACGGGTCGCCTCTGGAATGACTCAATTCCTACATTCTCAGGAGTGCTTTGGGAACATGGTGTGGATACTGGGTACTATTCGTCGTCATTTGCTTCAGCACGGTCTGTTCCAACAGGAACAGGTGCTCTAGCGATCACCATCCCTCTGAGACTCCCGTAGGGAGTCTCAGTTGAATAAGTGGACGACGTGGGTGGTGTCCATTGTCCATCAAATAAGACACATGAGCGTACGTTGGGTCATCTTCTTCTTTATTGAATTCATGGTAATTGAGGGTGGGTTGATGAGAAGTCAATTTAATCGTTGAAGCCTTTGAGCCTTTACGATTTGCAGGACCAGTCATACCAGCAGCTAAAGGGTAACAATGGCCTGCCAATGCCTGAAGGCCTGCATACCTTTCGAGTCTTACATATCTGGAAGGTGCTTCATGTAGACCATTGAATAAAGCCACCAAGCCTCACATATATGGAGGTGTTACAATCCAAATGGGAGAGCTTTATCAATCAAGCTTGTACATTGGTGAATGTTAGGGAACACCGGGAACACCCTGTCAGCTCCTTGGTTCGCGAGTCCGGGAAGAAAATGAACGAACTGGAGCCGTCGCCCGACCCGGGTCGCCGTCGCTCCCTCCGAACCACGGTGGCTAAACGACTCGGACACCTTGCCTGCGACACGGCTTGCAAAACCTCGGTTTCCCCGGTGAACCAAAGAACGCCCCTTTGTGCCGTGCCCTTGTTACGCACGGCACAATTTCTTGGCCTTGTTGGGTTGCCCACCCTTAGTTTACCTTAGTTTGGTCCAACTGGTCTTGTGCAACTATATAACGCTTATACCGATACCCAAACACAGGACTGGCACTGGGACTGCCATGTTGATGGATCACTTGGGCTGGTTGATGAAGAAGCTAAGTGAATTCTATCGAGAGTTCTCTTACCAACCATGATGAAGACTCAGAAGACGGGTTGGCGCATGCGCCCTAACTCGTCGAGACCCTTCGTTGTTGTTTCAAGAGTTGCCGGGCCAGGAAGGGATCAAAACACGCGAAGTTCCGGCTTCAACTTCCGAAAGCCCTTCGTATTGACGAAAGCGCCTGTGAATGAGGCTCCATCTGTCTGAGAAAGCCCGGTGCTTTTTTGGGCTGTGACTCCCCCAAAAAGGTGACAAAACGACTATCAACATCTCTCAAGCTGATTCGATGGGCCACTGTTTTGACCATAGTCGAAGCCCTTCACTGATCATGTGCTGAACGGCCCTCCATGCTGGGATCACTCGCTGGACCACTCATACGGCAGAACACGCAGCAGCATTTCTAGCTTCTAGACTGAAGGCCACAGGACTAGGGAGGTTCAATCGCAATAGCTCTACTACTACTACTACTACTCCTACTCCTACTCCTACTCCTACTACTACTACTACTACTACTAGCTCTACTATGTCAAGTTCAGGTGGTCTCAAGCCGTCTCAAGAGGTGTAGCATTGAAATTCCATTTGGAGCACCGTTGTGAGCAGATCTTTGTCTACCAACAAGGGAGGCAACCCTGCGTGCATGTGCATATCGGAGCACAGGTCCGAAGCAAACATTGCAAAACATGCACACCTTGAGGTCCCCCCACCGGTGTGGCAAAGGCTTCCAATTTGGCAAAGGCCCAGGCAAGGTTGGCCACCTGGAAAGGTCTTTGATGTCTTTTGATCGCTTTGACCCGCCACTTC